AGAAAGAATAAAATGAAACTCTCTTGTAGGCCCGGCATGGCCAGGTGGTTAGGGCGCTTGACTCGCAATCTGTGGGTCGCGGGTTCGGATCCCTATCCCACCAAAAAATGCTCGCCCTTTCAGCCGTGGGGCGTTATAATGTGACGTTCAATCCCACTATTCGTTGATAAAAGAGAAGCCCAAGAGTTGGCGGTGGGTGGTGATGACTAGCTGCCTTTCCTCTAGTCTTACACTGCTAAATTAGGGACGGCTAGCGCAGATAGCCCTCGTGTAGCTTTGCGCGAAATTCAAAACAAACAAACAAAACCTCTCTTGTGGATCCTATCAACAATGGATTTCCCCTTGTGTTATCGTAGACTTAACCTAATTACTTCAACACATCTGCTTGATTTTTTCTCTAGACATACAAGAAGAAACTGGACCGAAACTGACCACAGGTAAAAAGGAATACAGAGTAGGAGACATTGTTGAGGTCAACTGCAGCTCCCCTAGAGACAAAGAGTCAGTCCATCTGGCATGGTTCGTTAACGACCAAGAAGTCAAGGTTTGATCAAAGATTCCAAAATTACTTTTTTGTAATTGGGATGTATGAATACTTGAGTGATTATAACTTTTAATTTTGGAGTTCGATCCCTGCGGTAGGAAAGTACGATGAAAGATTCGACAGCTTTGCCTTTGTAACTGTGATATTTTTACATTCAAATTGCAGCTTGGTGGCTTAACGGTAAGCTTGAGTGATTATAACTTTAAAATTCGGGGCAAGATCCCTGCGGTAACAAGGTATGGTGAAAGATTAGACAACTTTTCCTTTGTCACTGTGGTATCTGTATATTCAAATTATTCTCGCTGGTGGCTCCGCGGTAGGCTTTAGGGCTTAGAACGCTAAAATTAGGGGCTCGACATCTGTTATGTCCAAAGCACAAATAGCCCATTGTGCAGTTTTAGGCTTAACAACAAAGAAATATTCAAATAATATGAAAGAAGGTTAATCGCCGTCCAATTATATTTAAAATTTAAAATAGCATACAACAACTAATGTAAAATAATCAGTATGCAGTCTGTACTAAACAAATAACAGTGAGAAGGTTAATGCAACAAATAAATATGAAAACATTTCGCACATATAAAATTCTTTATTTTTTTCCCTAAAATTCTGTTTTTAAGCAGTAATTAATTTCACAATTATATTTTCTTCGCTGTCTATTAACGTGCACTATTATGCTTAATATTACAGATGTTTTAGAAAATATATATCTTTTCTCGAAAGTGGTAGATTAAAAAATTTAATAGAACGAAGTAAACTTATTTCTGTAGCTTGTTTTTATAATTTTAAAAATATATGATTTTGGTAAGAAAAAGAGGGCCCTCTAAATTCTGGAAAAATGTTGAACGTACGTTTTTAATAATAATATTCTATTGTTGTAGAAGCCCTGTTTGGCTAATAGAATATTATTAAAACATAAAGCCGTCGGTAGTTGGGCCCGGCATGGCCAGGTGGTTAGGGCACTCGACTCGCAATCTGAGGGTCGCGGGTTCGAATCCCCGTCACACCAAACATGCTCGCCCTTTCAGCCGTGGGGGCGTTATAATGTGACGGTCAATCCCACTATTCGTTGGTAAAAGAGTAGCCCAAGAGTTGTCGGTGGGTGGTGATGACTAGCTGCCTTCCCTCTAGTCTTACACTGCTAAATTAGGGACGGCGAGCGCAGATAGCCCTCGTGTAGCTTTGCGCGAAAATTCAAAACAAACAAACCGTCGGTAGTTGGAAAGCTCCAGTGTGATGAATTTAAGAAAAAAAAAGCAGCCGAAATAATGAATATTGTGTGTTCATTATCATCTGACATCTTAATTTACTAGTAATTTCAACTTAATCTCCTGTTACACCTTCAATTATTATTTTTTATTTCTTTTCTCTATGATACTATATTTTCCTGTGTATAATATCCTGGTTTTTAAATTAGTTTTATTTTGTGTCTTTGTTTCGTGATACAGTTTATTACGTAAAATTAAGTATTACACTCATCTGGTCCAGGCAATCTTATCTTTGTTTTATATACAGTCATCTGGTCCAGGCAATCATATCTTTGTTTTATATACAGTCATCTGGTCCAGGTAATCATATCTTTGTTTTATATACAGTCATCTGGTCCAGGCAATAATATCTTTGTTTTATATACAGTCATCTGGTCCAGGCAATCTTATCTTTGTTTTATATACAGTCATCTGGTCCAGGCAATCATATCTTTGTTTTATATACAGTCATCTGGTCCAGGCAATCATATCTTTGTTTTATATACAGTAATCTGGTCCAGGCAATCTTATCTTTGTTTTATATACAGTTTTTAGATGATGCGAAAAATATATGTCTGATGAAATTACGCAGTTCTTCAAATTGGTAATTTTAACAGTCGGATAAAATAATACAAGTATTTTTGATTGAAATATAACGATAATAACGAATTTATTTTTTACAAACACAAAAAGTGAAACTGTAGATGAATTACAGATGGAAGTGTCTCCTCACATTGGGAATACTAAATTTATTTTTCAGGCTGATCATCTCTACGTCATTAACTATTCACCAGTAATTTATAAAGACGATGCTGTGTCGTCTCTGATTGGGCTAAAGTTCCGCTTGACCCACAATCAGTTGCTTTCAGAAGGCTTGAGGATAAAATGTACCGCTAGCAAATCTACTGTTCTGGATACTAGGAGCCACAATATAGTAGTCGGCGGAGTCCAACGTAGTTCAGGTTTCCATGTGTTAGCAAGCAGCGGGAAAGGTGAAGCACGTGGTTTTGTATTTAAATAGATCTCTCTCAATAAGAACTGCTTAAAATATACTCAAGAAGACTAAATTCTCAAAACTTCTTTTTTGTTGACTATTGTTTGTCGAACCGGAATTTCTTCCTTACAGTAAACAGGGTAACGACTTTTCAACAATGTGTTTTAGTAGCATTGTTAATGTCACTGATATTCACACTCAACATTATGTTATTTATATGACTAAATTCAACTGTCACCGAAGAAGCGTGCATTGTTCACTTAATGTCTAAATGACAGATTCTTTAGTGACTTCTAATTGTTGTTAAGTTAATGACGATACGAGCTAATGATACTCTGAAAGGCCACTAGGCGCTCAGAAATCCAAATCCAATCGATATCGTGATTTTTATCAAACTACACAGTTTTCTGCTACTACCCCTTTTAGAATTGTTCTGTTTTTTACCCCTTTACTTCCATTATTTCTAAAACAAAAACTATATGATCTATAATTCTGGTTGTCGTATCCGCTTTAAACTTTCTATGGTTAATCAATAACTAAGAAACCAGTTTACCCCTCACCCTAAAATTTACCATATTGAAAAAATGTATAGACGGAAAAACGATAAAATTATCACGACAAATGACACGAGAATTCCATGACCTTTTGATATAAAATTCGACGTATTCATCATACTTGCTCAATTGAAGCATTCCAAGTATTTTAATTTGCAACGAATCCGCTAACTGGTCATAAATCTATATAAAGGCTTATATTGTACGGTTCGTATGGGTTAGGGCTAATTAGTGAGTTGGGCTAGCAAAGTGAAGATTGGTAAATTATACACTATTCTAAACGAATAGACCTAAAATACGAGATAAAAATCACGTTAACTGCACATGTTTTTCCACATTCCTCTTAATTCGCTAATTTGAAATTTAAACGTGTAAAAATTACATTGTAGAACTATTTTTTTCTCCCACTAGCAAGAAGCCTTTTGTTCAATACCAGAACTCATCTGTTAGGCTGGACAAAATAATCTCTGAAACTCTATTAACATATGTAGCGTAATATTTTAAGTTTTTGTTTCAACGACGAAATCGTGCGAAGCATTATAATCCAATAGGCTACTTTGACAGTGACTTGTGGAAGACGACAGATAGATCTGAAATTCTGTTTTTACGTGACCTTTTTACAGGAACTTTTAAAGTATTATAATTCAGATATTCTTTTGTCTTTCATGTCCATCCCAACTGATGAGTTCTGGAAGTGAACGAAAGACCTCTTGAGCTATGACTTATGGGAGACGACAGATAGATCTGAAATGCTTTTTATTTTTACATTACTCTGATTTTATATCCTAAATGAACAAAGTAAGGGAAACGTAGGGAGGGCATCTGCAATTTACGTGTCTTTTTATCCTAGATTTTATGCCTTGTTTGTTATGCTTCGCCAACTTTCGGCATTTAAACAATAATATCAACAATATTCTCTCTACATATATGTAGAACTTTTGTCACAAGTTGATATAACTCCTGTTCTTAAAATTTGATGAAAGTATGCTACCAAAATTGCCCCCAGTGGCACAGCGGTATGTTTACGGACTTACAACGCTAAAATCCGGGTTTCGATACCCGTGGTGGGCAGAGCACAGATAGCCCATTGTGTAGCTTTGTGCTTAATAACAAACAAACCAAAGCTACCAAGTTTTATATTTTATTTGTAACCTTATAAACTGAAAGAATACGTATGTTGAATACGTGTTTAAGCCGAAACATTTTATACGGAAAAGTCTTAAGACCATTGAACATCGGTCAAACCCTAAAACTTAAAAGAGAGAGAGAGAATAGGACTAGATATTAGAAATACCTGGACTGGATATTTTGTGTTTGACTGACAACTGGAGCGCTACAAGCATGAGTACAATATTAGAGATTTGATCTGATCAAAATTTTTGTATCTTATTAAATTTGGTATGGTAGCTTAACTTGAAAAGATTGTGATTAATAAATCTGAGAATGATCACTAGGGCAGCTATACAGATCGCAATTTAAAAGTAAAAATTGGTTGAGCTTACATATAAGCGAGTCAATGAATTCTGTAATATATTTTTAATGAAAATCACTCCACGTTTTGGAATTTCAAATTTAATATGCCGCATTACACTCTATAAAAAATTATAAGTGTAAGTATAACTATGAAAACCAAAACTACTCTTCAAACAAATGGTGGTCAAATTTCTTGGCCATCAACTAAGTCTAAAAATATAAATGTTTTAAACAATATACCGTAAGTGTAAATACGCCCATGAGTAAGATTTAATGTGTTTTTATAGACCCGTGAAAAAAAAATTGCAACAACAAAAAAAACTGCTTTCGACAACAGAGCAGTGCCATAAATCAAATAGTCATAATTTTGGTCAGACAGACCTCTCTGAGACTGGTTGATATTATTTTTGGAAATATATCATATCTGTGCGTTTTCAGAGATAGAACCTATTTAAGACCAAAAGGTTCAATTTTTCACTAACAATCCGATATTTCTAAAGATTTTATTCCGTATTGGTAGATATATAAAAATATGTTTTTCCTACTCAAAAATGTGATAAACTAATACACTAAAAATTGGTTTTTGTTGTTAGATGGCGCTAAAGACAAAGATACAAAAGCAACCTTTTAGGACTTCGAGCACATATTTGTAAACATTGAAATACGAACACCAGTATGTGTAAATTAAGAATGTGTCGACTATTTGTTGATCTCGGAGATGACAATATTTTAAGAGTCTTAGCTCAAGATTAGTTGGGTCAACACACACACACACACAAATATATGGTTAATTCATTTATAAGTAGGTGGAAACCGAAAAGACTATTATTGAAATGACACGTTTTAAATATCAAATGGCGACACAAGTCGGAAGCATCAAATGACATGGACGGACAGTTTTTCAGTTATTATGAGTTTAGTTCAGTGAATTTCAAAATTAATGTTGAATTATTCAAACTTATTTCCCTGATATTCTCATACTGAACTTTTATAGAACACTATGTGTGAGAACCACTGACTTAAAATCTACGTATTTGTTTAAATATTTTTTAATCACAAGTAAAAAAAAAAACTATTTATTTCTCAAATTTTTGACCACTCTCTACGTAATATTGACTTTTCAGAGTCCAGTACTAGAAGTTTCCGGAATCTGGTATTTTGGAGCTGGTTATTCCATCTAATCTTTCTCCGGCTGACAGGTACGATCCGACACTAGCTACTTCTTGAGTGGGAATTTAAAGAAGACCTTAAACCTTAATGGAGCTACCACAATAAACACAGCAATTGAAAAAAATAAAAATGCCGAGAACTAATCGCATCGTTCTTTCTTGTTCTTCGATTTCAAAAGTTCCACCAGTCAACTCCTTATTTAAGGAAACTTCCAACACACCAGAGCTTTTCCATCACGTGAACATCAATGAGGATTATGATTGGTTGCGAAGGGCACGAGCTGTGATATGTGTTGAAAAACACTAGGATGTGACGACACAATCGCTGATGATCCGAGTTCGAATCTTAGAGACAAGTGTTGTTTTTTTTGTGACCTGTCATAATTTATAACAGTCAACTATATAAAAATTCCGTGTATGTTTGTTTGATAATGCTATCCATACTTAACATGCTTTCTATCTAGATACTTTTAATGTCAGATAAAAAATTTACCAGTATTATTTACTTAATATATATAAATTGTAATATATATATATATATATAAGTTATATAAATAATACTGCACGTAGAGGTGTTTCATTAAATATTCTGTGTTAGATTTTGTGTCAATAATATATTTTACATTACCTTCGATTATAAAGTTGTTGCTATAGCACATGTTCGTTATATCCAAAGAAAGACGTCATTTATAAATATACAGGGTGGCTCAAAATTATCTTACCTGTTTTAAGATTTAATAATTAGCTAACTAAGGAAATACAACGAAGCACTTTTCAACATCTTGTAGCCCAACTCAATCAAACAGGTTTTACTGGCATGTCACTAGATTTCTACGCGTGCACCATTAGTTGCTCTCAGCCCGTCTAACCGATATTTGATTTCAGTCCGCGTCTGCTGCAACATGTCTATAGTTGCAGTGGTGAAGGCATCTGTTATCCTGGTTTGCCCAGCATGGCCAGGTGGATAAGGCGCTCGACTCGCAATCTGAGGGTCGCGGGTTCGAATCCCCGCCACACCAAACATGCTCGCCCTTTCAGCCGTGGGGGCGTTATAATGTGAC